GTGAATTCGCGAGAGAAGAGCCTGCATTGCTTAATTTCGCGCCGGATTTCGCGCCGTACAACTAACGAGGACGACTACGCACTTGCGAGTAGAACGATTTCGGATGTTTCAGAAATATTGGATTGTCCGAGATGTATTTCGACGAGGTCTTAAACTCGAGCAAGGCAGCCGCAAAATTAACCGAAGTAAAGGGATGCCGTTGCGTATCTCTATCACTTGGAAATACAATTCACGTGAAAAATATCTGAACTTTTTCTCCCGTTAAAGCATCTCTCTTGCGCAATCGGGTCTACCTGTAAAATCCGATCTCCTCTATCGGGAGAATTTTAAGTTGGTCAAAGAATCCGACAATTGCGCGAATCGTTTCGTAATCGGTGCAACGTTGTTCGTAAACATCGTCAAAAATATCACGGCAAAAGTAATGACCAACAAAGACACGTTGACTCCGTATCGCGGAGTACGAAATGTTTCTCCCATGGATAATAACTGAATTTATCAACGTCCTCTTAACGATCCTCGAGACAAACGTACTCAAACAGAGAGTAGCGCGAGAACGTTCCTTTCCCGCAAAACACATAAATCATTCCTCTCGTTACGTTATGGCCGGTGTATCGATACCTTCGACCGCGAACAGGGCTGCTTACGAAAGGTACTCGCGAAAATATGCAATGAAAGACTTTCCGCCGCGAATCGTATCGCTAGCAGAGGTCTCTATCGATGAAACATTAACGGCGAGAGACCTTCTTACAGCTTCCTATCTAAATACACTTAGCATATATCCTCGGAACATAGATAAACCATTAAAAACATTGTATATGTTCCTATCTACCTATACACAATATATAGATATAATGTTTGTATATCATAACCATATTAATAATATTAATTACATATATATATATAATATATATTATATATATGTATATATATATATATACGATTAGAGTAAATAATTAATCCTTATGCATATATCACATCTGATCGTTCAGTCAGTATAGGAAGACCCTCGCCTCGCCGTCGACACACGCAAACCCGTTTAATGTACGTGTTCCTACGTGTTTCTCTTTTCCGTCTCTCACGTTTCTCAGGATTCAGAAATTTGTCACCTCGCTACGCACTCTCCCATATTCCCATTATCTCACTCTGTATCTTTCTCTCTTCCTTCCCTCCTCCTCGCGCCTACTCATGTTCTCGCTCTTCCAGCAATTTTAAACTAATTCAATAATAGCTACTATCTAAACAGACATTTAAGTTTTGGTAAAAACCTGAAATCGCCATCGAATATCAATATAATACACTTAGTTTTTATGTACTTATAGTATAAATATAGGAACATTCATTAAATATATTTTCATATATAATATTATCGTCATATATATATATATATTTATATTTATATATTTATATATATATATTAGAATCTGTATATATATACAAATATATATGTACGTATATACATATTTGTATATATTTGTATATATTACTTGGTGTTGTAGCTATAACTTTAAACGTGGTTTAAAATGCCCAATGTATTCCATAACGCCTGAACCATGGTTAGTCCGTGATTTCTGGGAGTCGGTAGTCAACAAAATGCAGCATCTCGGGACGAACGGCACGAACTTGAGAGAACGTGCGAGTCGACAGACGGACGAGACGATGGATACCGAAGAAATGTCCGAGGAAGCGGGCGCTCCTTGCTTTTAAAGGACATGAAACATCGGCCGGGTCGAACGTCGCAACACTCGGCGCGCCCTTTCTCAACGCGTAGGCCGTAAATAAGACGGATGTGCAAGATACGTCCGTAAATTAAAATATTACATAGCCAGTTAAATTATGTAAAATATCGCACGATATATGGTGGACGGCGCGATCGTCCGACCTCGACAAGTATTCGGCGATCGAAGGGTGTGCGTTCATCGCGAAAGTCCACTTTGTCAAGAACACGAGGAACCGCGCTCATTCAAAAAATCTAACCCGCATAGAAGTTTTCCAAGATTTTCTCAAACAGATTCCGATTAGAATGGTCAAGTGTGACAATTAATTATCTCACTACGATATCATTTGGGAAGCCTATTATCTTGTCCCAAACATAAATTCTCTGGAAACAAAACACAAAAATATTATGGGAACTCGTACTTTTTTCAGTCGGTAACGTATATTTTTGTGTTGTCAAACAAGAAATCTCATTTTTTATACCAACTGTTGTATTCAATAGAATAAAAAGCAAAAAAAATATATTTTCAAAACACTTCGATTATTTTGTTTAACAATAATATTATTTGGTAATTAAGAATAACAATATGTAGTCTCTATAATCTTACAAACCGTTACTGTTTGCAATATTATTTGTAAAGTCAACAAATGTTTTCTTCAATTCTAAAATAAAGACTAAGAAGAATATTGGGAAAACTTTAGGTTTTCCTACTTCAGAATCATATATTTGAAACATCACACTTCTAATTCCGCTTACAAGTCTCCCAACATTTTTTTAGATGCAGCATAAATTCCGACTAGAATGGAATAAATTAATTATCCCACGGCTCTATTACGGCTACTAATTGAGAGTCCCATTCTCTTATTCTAGACATAAGTTCTTTGTCTAGGGAGTTAAAATATTATAGAAACTCGCTTCTTTTTCGGACAGTAAAATCGGTATACTTTTATGAATTCCATTTCTATATCGATTATTGCATTTTCAATAAAATAAATGATTTAAGAAACAAGTTTTATTTTTAAAACAGTTTAATTATTTTACCGAATAACAAAATTATCAGGAAACTCAACATATGCTTTATTCAATTTTGATGCAATATAAAGATTGAAGAAAAATATTGAGAAAACTTTGGGGTTTCCTACTTAAAATCGCATGTTTGGAACATTACACCTCTAACCATAATTATTTTGGGGAATTTGACTAAGTTAAATTCCAAGAAATTTTCTATGCGGGTATTTATCCCAAGTTCTCTCGAATTCCTCAGAGTAATCGCTGCATCGAAGAATCGGCGACTAAGACGTGACGCTTATTTTCGATGACATTAAATTGTGACGTCGCGGTCTCAAGGAAGATAGTTGACTCGGAATTTGGAACGCTCGATAGGTATACGTACGCCCCGATATCGCGCCGCTATCGCCAACTTGAAAGTATGAGTATTCGTGCGAGTCAAAAACTATCCGCGAGCGTCTCGTACATGCACGAGAAGGCGCGGCGCGGAGTGGCGCAACGGCCGCAATAAATATATTATCCCGTCGCATTCGGTAGGTACGTTTTGCCGGAGTTCGATTGAAAGACGACTGGGTATCACGCGAGCTAACGTGATGCGGAGGCCGCGCACACGCGTCGCGATTAATTGATTCTCGGAATTCGATGTAAGTTCGAGCGAGTCCTATAAACGAGTCCATCGTATGTGTACGTACGTATGTATGTATGTATATATCTGTGCATATTTTGTGTGCGTGCGTGAACACGCGCGCAAATGTGTGTATCCGCATACGTGTGTATCTGATCGTGTCGATTTGTCCGATTTCCGGCGTGTTCTACCGGAGTCTCATCGCCAATCGTTCGAAACATCATCAGCGGTGCTCCGTGTCACACGCGTCAACGACATTTGCCGGTGACTCTAAAATGAAGATCGCAGCGATTTAATTTCATACATTTTGGGCACGAGTTAATCGGAAGTTACCCGTGTCACGTCGTTTTGTCACCGTCGTTCTTAATTGTTGGCAAATCTTCGGATTAATTATAATGAAAACACTTATAGCTATCTCTCTGTCGTGTGAGCACTCTGTTCATGTAACTTTTCCAAATTGTTTTCTCCCTTTTGCACTTTTCTTATATGTACTATTGGTGACATTTCTGTATGATAGCTACGTATTTGGAAACTTTTGGCAATCATTAATTCAACAATAAATCCAACAGCTGTGATTTTTGACACAACATTAAACAGGAATTAAGAAACTTTCTTTCCTTTTTGCTGTCATGTTGAATTCTGAAGTGAAGAAGTGAATCTCTTGAGTTTTGCTATCCTCTTTAGTCATTGATACTCTAGAATAACCTGGTTTTTCCTATCGATCGATTACATGTGTTCCAGTTTTGGTTATGAAGATCTCTTTTGGAATAATAGAATGCAAGCAAGAAGCTTAACTGCAATGCTGATCGCAAAAACCAAATTTTTCTATAGCGTTTAATGACTATATATAAAAGGGATGTCACAACAATTGTGTTTCACTCTACATCAAAACAAGTCTTCTTCGCATTCTGCCATTCACACAGTCGATATAGATTGGTAAACTATACCAAACATTGTCTTTTTGGCTCATAGCTTAATAGCTTAGATAACTCTCGATCAACTATTGTAAATCTATCCATTCTGTTGAAAACGTGATGCAATTTGAACAAATTGAATTGCACGTGCATTTACTCACATGGAGTAGAAAAAAATGAAAAGTTCTTATTTTTATTTTACGAATTGAGTGCGAAAGATGGATTACAAAAAGAAAATTAATTTACATCAACGTATATACTGCGAAAGGAAACTTTTTACACAATACACTATTTTCATAAATGGCCACAATTAGACAACAGGAAGCTCTCAAACAATCAAAGCACCGACAAGTGATACTATGGTAACGAAGGTAACACGTCCCGAAGCGTTTCAAAGCGATTCGTCGAGCGCGTCGCGCGAAGGAAGAATCGTGACGGCGTTAGAACAGTCGAAGCTTTGGTTTCGCGTCGTAATCCGCATTATAGCTGTGTTAACGTAGAAAGTATACCTCGGTCCCAGCGTCTATGACTCGTGCGTGTAATATGCACACGCTGAAATCGACTCTTATCACATGATTGCAGCTAGTCCCGTCGGACTCCAACTAAATGAGAAGTGACTAGTGGTCTTCGAGATATATATGTATATACTCACATATACATATACATATATATATATATATATATATATATATATATACATATGTATATGTATTTTATATATATATATATATACATATGTATATGTATTTTATATATATATATATATATATATATATATATATATATATATACACACACACACACACACACACAAGGTATCTGACGCAAGACTTGTCGACGTACGGGTACAGATAAATTGCGTCAAACTGGACAAAAAATTCTTCTATCATTTTTCAAACAATCTCGTAAAATTTTGATTTTGTGTTAATCAAAAAAGAAGATATTAATCAAGGAAGATTTATGAACGATCACGCGTGATATGGCAGTTGGATTGTAATGACGATCATTTGCCACCATATGCCTGTACATTAGATTAAATAGAACAAAAAAGTCCGCTATTCTATTTTGCAAATAACCATGTAGATGCTTGGTTATTAATTAAAGAAGATTCGACGCTTTAAATAAAAGAAGAATCGCGCATGATTAGTGCGATAACGTATCAAATTTTCTTTAATTAATAACTGAAAATCTCTACGTGACTATTTGCAAAATTGGACGTTTTTTTTCAGTTTGAGCTCATCTACAAACACACGACGGTAGATGTCGTAACCATCACAATTCATCTGATCGTTCGTGATCAATCTTCAATAATTAATAACTCAAAATTTTACGTGGTTTTTGGCAGAATGATGGAGGAATTGTGTCTTCAGTTTGATCTAATCTACGTATACACGTACGTTGGCGTGTCTTGCGTTAGGCATTCTGTGTACATATATATATATATATATATATATATATATATATATATATATATATATATATACATACACACACATGTATACTAAACGCCTGGCACAGTACTAAAATATCACATCGTACGATCGTTACTTCAAGGTACCTTCGTTAGCGATTCACATTCTTCCTTCGAATCGAAAGAATGTGTACGTTCCCCATCCGTGACTTCGACGTCTACGTGTCGCACGAGTCAGGGAAGAATCGACGGTCGCGGTATTGGCCGCGCTACATCCGAGTCAGTTAATTCGACGAAGCGCCGCCAACTGGTCCGGGAGAAGTCGTACTGTCTACAAAATACAATTAATACGGTAACTAGGAGTAACACAACGCGTCCCGCCGTAACGTTCCGCAAAACGAGATTAGATTGTCGCGTAGTTACTGTTTAGCGTTATTACGCTCGAACGCGAGCACCGCTACTACGTGTCCGGTGCGGCCGGTTTAATTCGGGTATACTTTCATTCGTTCCCATCTTCCAGAGCGAAGGGCCAACCGAATTCGGAAAGCGGCGAGCGCTTCCGAAATTGCTTCCTCGCCTGTATTCGCGTGTCGTCGCGGTGTATACGGTCGCAGGCGGCTTCATCGCCTTACCGTTCTACTTTAGTACAGAATAATCGTTTGGCACTGTGGCTATCGTCCTATCGAGTTCCGCTGCGACTCGAGTCGCAATCGCGAGATCGCGCGAACCTCCCTTTCTCTCTCTTTCTCTCCTTCTCTTCCCCTCCCTTTTTGTCTCTGCAACGGTCGAGATCGAATCCTTGGCGTAAACGAGATGAAATTTCACACACGAACGCTAAAAACTCCCGGGACCGTCGAGAGATCGGGCGGGAACTCGTGGCGGCTCAAGTGCCGCGAGATCGCCACGAATCGAGATGTCGCGGCAGCTCAGAGGACGTAAATGGAGAACCCGAGAGTCGAACATCGCGCGCGACTTCATGCTGGAACACCAAGGGTGTTCGCCGAGGCCGCTTTCTTCCTGCGAGAGACACTTCGCAAAGTTCACTATGCAGATTTCAATCGCACGAACATTTTCGTCTCGTATAGGAAGTTCCCAAGATTTTCCCAGATATAGCACAGATTCCGATTAGGATACCCAATTTTGTCTCAAAATTGGTTACTCCACGGTTACCAATTGGAAATTACCATTCTCTTATCCTAAACACGGATTCTCCGTCTAGAATCAAGAAACAAAAGTTATATAAAGTTACGTTTTTCTCAGTCGATAACGTCGATATATTTTTATATAGTATTAAACAGGAAATTCCATTGTTATACCAACTGTTGTATTCAATAGAATAAAAAATAACATTTGTTTTAAACACTTTGATTGCTCTACTGAATAATGAAATTATTTAGAAAGAATCAACATATGCTCTCTTCAGTTTTAATGTAAAAATGAAGACCAGAGAGAGTATTGGGAAAACTTTGGGTTTCCCCACTTAGGATCACATGTTTGAAACATGCTTCTAATCAGAACTATTCGGGAGGAGTCGGGCTCGCTCTCAAGAAATTTTCTGTTGGGGAAAGGGGTCTTGTACGCCGATTGACTCCCGATTTTCCAATTGTTCAAGACGGTCCCGACTCACGGTTTTCCCTCAGTCAGCCGAATCGGCGGTAACGGTGAATCCGACGGACGCGGAGTGGAAATGGAACGGCAGTGGGCGGATGTTGCGGTCGGACTAACGATCAGGGGCGTCAGGCGTCATGGAACGGTTTTCTTTAATCTTCTAGTCTGCGCTCCTCGAGGCCCGCGAACGCGAGGCTCGAATGATCGCAATGCGCGAGGACCACGTACGTCCGGCGATTAAAGCGGACGAGTACATTATATTTATATATATATATATATATGTATATATGGCTATACCGGCGAGAAGTGGGAAATTGAAACGGTGCGAACGCGAGCGAGGCTCCCGCGTCTCGCCGCGAAACTCGTTGACATTCGTTGGACATGGTTCCTCTTAATGTTTCTCGTTATCTTAATAAAATCCCGCCGCCGCTGAAGGGGACGACTGTGCGACGACATCGCACCGATGACGCATCGACATATTGTTTAATTGTTAAATTACATCTCTCTCTTTATCGAGACAGTACCATACAGTCTAATTACGACTAAATTGGCCTATCGCAGCACCGGGCCGGTCTTGGAGGGAAATTGAGTTTTCGCCCGACGGAATAGATTCTCTTTTCTCACTCTCTCCCTCACTCTCTTTCTTTCTCTCTGTCTTTCTACTCTCTCTTTTTTAAACAGTTCTCTTTGTTTGGCACGGTAGACATCAACTGGCGACACTCTCTCTTTTCGCTGACAGCTCTCCTCTCCTTATTTTCTCTCTCTATCTCTCTTTCTTTCTTTCTCTTCCTCTCTTTCTGTTCTCGCGTTTGGTTTCGGTTAGAAGCACCGGCCGGCCGGCATCTGGCGATCAACCCTATTCGTTAAGTAGCACCTTCGTTATTCAACTTCGTTTCGCGTACTTTCGAGAGTGCGCGTACACAGAGCAGCAAGTACACTATATCACTTAAGAGCTAAGTATTCTGACCGAGTGGGGGATCCGGCCTCGTAAATGATCCATCGAGTACTCCTAAGAAACGCTCTCTACCTCTACTTTTCTCTCCCTCCTTCCCCTCCGTCTCACCTTTTTCTTTCGCAACGAGACACGATCGGACTTGGTTGTGAAGTGGTCAGAAATTAAAGCTACTTACGAGACCAATCCCGAGAGAATGAGCCGGCACTCTCGTTCTGCGCTCGCGCATACTGGACAACGTGTCATTATTTTGTGTACGTGTGTGTGTGTGTGTGTGTGTGTGTATGTGTGTGTGTCTGTTGATGTGTGTCGTATATACATATATATAAATACTAAGAGAGTGGATAGCGACTAGGGAGAGAACTTGGAAGGACCGAATATAGACCGTGCAACAAGACGCTACTTCGCGGCTCCCGACGACGAACCTAAATATCGCTGGTGTCTGACACACGTACGGGAGAAACGGAAGATACTATTATTGCTATTCGCATCAGAAAGGATTATTTCATTCGTTCGGGAATTCGAAGGCACCGGCAACGCTTTCCGGGAGGTTCCTCCTCGTCCCTCCCCCCGGTTCGGTGCCAACGTCGAACACGTCGTTTCACACGGATCGTGTCGTCGACGATGAGCGACGTGTCCCGATCGTCGCGAATCCTGCTGAATCCCCCTCCGTCGCGAGAGCTCGTCGCTCGTCGAATAGTTTTAATCCCCTACAGACTGATGGAAAATTTGAAAGTGGCGTCTTCAAGTCGTAGCTGTGCGAATCCCTTTCTTTCAGATTTGTTTCGGGACAACCCGCTTGCCGATGTCAAACGAGATATGACGACATGGAGACGTATATATCTCGTGCTCATTTCTACATTTTTACTCCCAATTATAGATTTAGCGTTCAATAAGAGATTGCGAAGAGTTAAACAAATGTGTCCTGTTAATACAGGCATTCAGACTTGTCTAGCTTGACTCATTTCATCGTCTTGAACATTTCGTTCTTCCTCCAGCTAGGAGTCAAGCTAGACAAAGATGAAATATCTGATGAAATATCTGACAGAGGAAGGGAAATACAGCTGTCTTCAAACTTCTCATAAGAAGGCGCAGTCTATATATGTGTGTATATATATATATATATATATATATATATATATATATATATATATATATATAAGTCTATGCCCCCAATTATAGAAACAAATACTCGTTAATTTAATTCTCGCTAAAGCTCGGATAAATGTAATTCGTCCATGGAGGATTAATAAGTATAAAAATTTGTCACAGAGCTCTCACGACGCGTCTCTATGTGCCACACTTGAAATGTCTCTCGTTGCGTCATAGTATCCTCAATTCATCGATCCTTCCCACCGCGATGTGCAGTTTTATTTCGAGTTTCGTTCTCTCTTTATATATGCATGTTCGCGACAAAGGTAGATTAATCAAGCGACCCGGAAAAAGTTACTCAATCGTTTGCGTGCTTCGTTTCTAACTGAATATAATAAGCTAAAATGTCTCATGTGAGTGTCGCAAAATTCTTTAAATAACTCATCTCGGTTCCCGTCACACGTCGTGCACGCGTGCATCAATCATCGAGAATCTACACTGTGTTATTTTTCGCGGCGGAAGGATCGAGCTGAAGAGTTCCGCGAGGACCTCTTTTACAATGCTCGCAATGTCGGTCGCAACACTCATCGCGACGATGATCGCAAACTTATCGCAACAGTCGGTTCAATTTCGATTGTTGCGACTGCGAAGCTTGTCTGGCATTGCGAGATTCAATCAGAAGCGTTAATAGCGCAGCTTTTATGCGCCAGCGGTTGGAAGACGACGCCAATTTATACGAATGTTTGCAACGATATTTCCTTTCCTAGCATTGCGGCCTACGTTGCGGTCATTGTAAAAAAGTCTTAATCCACTTAATTAAGGCCTCTATTAGAAACTCATTTTAAGTAAGATACTCAGATTTTAATTCAAGGTTAGATGAGACAGTTTTCTAGTTGAATCACGATTAGAGATACGAATACATAACATATAATTCAACTGAAAAACTTGGATTCAACTCTACAACATATAATTCAACTAAAAAACTTGAATCCAACTGTACAAAAATGTGAGTATCTCACGTGAAACAAGTTTCAAGTGACAACTATTAATACGGGCCCAAGAGTATAAAGAGAAGTAATTTTTAAACTGAGACCGTGGAATTTACGGTCAATTCTGATGGATTATCGAACTGAGAGATATGAGGATGTTGACGTCTGCGTGGATAATTTGAAATTTAATTCCTCTTTCTGTCAACTTTGAGGCCGATCTGCTCGAGTTTAGCCGCGCCACACGTGGTCGGGCTGAACGCGAAGTCGCAGGATGCGCGACGCGGATCCTCACCCATGTGAAAAAGAAAAAAAAACATATCCGTCGACGTGTTCGCGTCTGCACGGAGCTCGCGTAGAGTGAAATTATCGTTATCGCACGCGGCATTATCGCGAATTATATTACATATCGAGTACACATCGAGTATATCGAGAGTAGCTATTACGTTACAAATATATCACTTTTCGATGGAGCACGAAGACGAAGAAGACAACAAAAGGAAGCCTTGACCGTCGACTTTCGCCGGCCGCGTCGTTGCGTTCTTTGGTTTCGTTCTTTTTCTCGTTTTCCTCTTGGTTTCGTCATATCCTTATCACAAGTTAGTCTCACTATCGTAGCTGAGAAAGCATCAGACGTGCTGGTAGGGGTCGCAGCAGCAGCAGCAGCAGCAGCAACAGCAGCAGCAGCAGCGGTGGTAGTGGCGCGCGCGCGCGTTTCGCTACATTCTCCCTTTCTTTCTTTCCCGTAATTGACGCGTCTTATCTTGGGCCGACAGCGATGGATGGACGCGCGGTTCGTTTCGTCCTCCGGTTCCCCTTTCTTCGCCGTGTATTCGTACCCGGTACTCATGTTCCTCGCGGGATAGGACGAGCTGAGCATCATCAACAGTAGCCGTAGTCGACCGAGACTCGAGGGATAATCTCACGATCGCGGACGGTGGAATGAAAGATACTGAAAACTTGAATTTTAACACGATATTCTAAAGAGAGAAAGAGAGGGGGAGAAAAAGAGAGGGAGAGTCGTTTCCACCGATGAAGTAGCGCCGAAGATTACTAAGATTCCGACTCCTTTACGCATCTTTTCCGACGAGTCCGTCGAAGAAAAATAATTACAGTCGGACATTTAATTGGCCGCGACGGTGCTCGGTGTTGCTCGACGCGCCACCACGGTAGAGGCTCGCCCCAACATTCCCGACAATTCGCGCGACTGTGCAAGATTAGCCCTCGAGTCGCGATGGCTCGCGCCGAGCGGAGCGCGAAGAATGAGGAACGTCGGGTCGAGTCGAGTTGCGTTAGCGCTGATGGATGTGCGTGGTGAGGTGCTTCGAGAGATAGTCGGCGCGGGCGAAGCACTTGCCGCACATCTCGCAGTGGTAGGGCCGCTCGCCGGTGTGGATGCGTAGGTGCCTGGTCAGGTCGCTCTTGCCGCCGAAGGCGCGGCCACAGAATAGGCAGACGAACGGCCGTTCGCCGGTGTGCTTGCGCACGTGCAGCTTCAAGTTCTCCTTCGACCTCACGCACTTGCCGCAGAACGGGCAGGCGAAGCGACGCTCGCGCCGGTCGGCCTCGCGATTGCCGCGCGCGAGGCCGATGATCGCCTCGGTTGACTCGTGCCGGTCTACGTCGTCCACGACGTTGTCGTCCACGTCGCCGATCTCGCTGCTGGTACCGCCACCGCCGACGCCGACGCCACCAACGCCAACGTCACCACCGCCGCCGCCGCCGCCACCACCACCACCGCCGCCGCCGCCACCACCACCACCACCGTTACCCGCAGGTGTTTCCTGCACTTCCACCGCGTCGCCGGGATTATCCTGAACGCTCGCGGTCTCCGAGATGCTCTCGTCGCGGGCGTTCTCGGAGAACACGCCGCGCATCTCCTCGGCGTCGCCCGGATTCGTCGTGGTATCGCTGCCGGTTTCCACCTGGGACGGCTCGCCGGTACTTGAGACCTGATCGCTGCGCTCGGCTGGCGCCGAGACCACGACGACGCTCTGCGGCTCGGGCGCGCGTTGCAGTCGCTCGAGCGCGTGGTTGAGACGGTGCTTCTTAAAGGACTTTAGATACCTGAACTGCATGCCGCACACGTCGCACGTGAACAGCTTGTCGGCCGGCAGCCGCGCCCGGTGGTTCTGCTCGCGATGCTTCACGTAGGCGGACCGGTAGCGGTATCGCTGGCCGCACTGCTCGCATGTGAACGGCTTGTCGTCGTTGGTTTGACCGGCGTGCTGCAGCAACGCGTGCCGCTCCAGCAGCCACGGCGACGGGAACGTCGCCAGGCAGACGCCGCAGCGACGCGCCAGCCCGGCCAGGCCGGTGAAGCCGCCGTGGCCGATCAGGGTGCCGCCGCCGCCACCACCGCCGCCACCACCGCTCGTCCGCTCCACCAGCGCGCCCCAGCCGCCCGCTTCCAGACCAAGGGCAAGCGAGACCTGCAACACGAGTGCAAATTTACGTCGTATCGTCGCACTGCTCCATGAGTCTCCTCTGCGTGGTTACATCCTGTTTCGTGAATAGATGCCCGTTGGCCAGCAGAAATAACAGTCCTGATCATTCGAGGGCTCGTCGAGCGGGTCCTATCGCAGGATAGAACGCGATATCTAGTTGTATCAGGATGGATCTGTTGTAACTGAGATTCGAATACTATGACTATACAAGCTTGTCGAGATAAATCCGGAAAAACATCATGTAAATAAAACACAATTAAAATACAGAGAAAGCGTCAATATATTCGCATATAATGTGATACAAAGTATCAACGAATATAAAAGAATGAAATTATCAGGGTTACTTTTTAAAAGTAACGCGTTACCGTTACCGTTACTTGCAGTAAAAAGTAACTCATTACTCGTTACTGATTCTAAAAAGTAACGCGTTACCGTCATTTGAAAAGTAACGATAAAAAAATCGTTACTTTCCGTTACTTTTGTAAAAAAAAAAGTTAAAATCGGCTTATAAAACGAATAGTAAGAGAGAGTACATAAATTATACATATATAAAGACAAAATATAAGATATTTAAGCGGGAAGCATTCTTGCATAAAGACATAAAGCCCATTCTACATTAGTCGCAAATCGCAAGGTCGCAAAGAAATTGACTAATCATATTCGATTGTTCTTCTTGCGATCGAAGAATAATCAATTATGATTGGTCAATTTCCTTGCGATCTTGCGATTGCGACTAATGTAGAATGGGCTTTAAGGGCGCCGCACACAAATTGACATAACAGTAACGTAAGACGTACCATAAAAATGGACCAATTACAATCGAGTATTCACAAAAGTGGCGATCCTACGGTTCGACGATACTCAAAGTGATTGGTCAATTCTTACGGTACGTTACTGTTATGTCAATTCGTGTGCGGCTTAAGCGTGGTCTACAATGAGAACTTAAGCCATAAAATTTAAGCTTTAAGTCCTAAGCCGTAAGAAGTTGACCAATCACAGTCAATTATAAGAAAAATAATTGACTGTGACTGGTCAATTTCTTACGGCTTAGAGCTTAAAGGCTTGAATTTATGGTTTAAGTTCTCATTGTAGACCACGCTTTAGAGGCTTTCTACAATAAGCAATAAGTTTTAAGTCGCAATAAAATTGACCAATTACAGTGGATTATTCTTCTAACAGTCGGCTGTGATTGGTCAATTTTATTATGACTTAAGATTTATTGCTTATTGTAGAATGGGCTTTACGGAAAGCAGCACATTAATTGTTTATCGTGTGCAAACTTTCGTCGCGTGGTAAGCGGTGCCGCGTTCTGTGTACAGAAGCCATTATAATAAAAAAGTAACGATACAAGTAACGATGAATTTCGTTACTCGTTACTAAAGAAAATGTAACGCCGTTACTTTTTCGTTACTGATACAAAAAAGTAACGGCGTTATCAAATCGTTACCAAAAAAAAGTAACGAAATAGTAACGTCGTTACAAATAACGCGTTACTTCCCAACCCTGGAAATTATGCAATGTAGCCTCCATCAGCTTTCACGACCTTTTCGAGCCTGGATCTAAACCGACTGTAGGCATACTTGATCTCCTCCTGGTCCAGATGTGTTATCACCTCTATGATGGAGGACTTCAGAGCATATTTGGTGTTGTGATACTTTGCATTGATCTTTGCCTCGATCACGCCCCATAATAGTCAAAGGGGTTGCAATCGGGATTAGAGGGAGGCCATAAGTCGGGGAACCAATGGTAGGGCAAATTGTTGTAAAGCCAGGCCTGGGTTTTCCTTGCCTTGTGAGCTGATGCCGAGTCCTACTGGAGCACATATTTCCTTCCAACGGCTATTTGATCCATTCAGGACTTTACAACCGTTTCTAGCACGTTGTAACCGTCGGCGTTCACCTTCAGAGCCTCCTCGAAAAAATGGACACCATGACGTCATCGAATCGCTTTCTGTGTATTGCCCGATCAGCAGTAATCTTCTCCTTGTTGTCGGGCTCTCTGAACTTCTTGGCTGTGGCATAAACTTGCGTCTTTTTGTAGCCAAACCATGCGATTATTTCCGTAAGCGATTTGCCGGCGCGAAGCGTTTCAAGTCATCGCCCTCCGCTCATATTCTCGGCTCATCACTAGTTGTTAATTGTTCGACGATTGTCTCTTGAATGACCTTGTCATAACGTGCCAAACGCGATATGTATTCAAAATCGACGCTGACGTCGTCGCTATAAGTAAACAAGTTTAATTCCTGGATTTATCTCGACGGCTCTGTATACTATGGATGCATAATTTAAGATTATTGGGAAGGAAGATACAAAGAAAATTTTTGAAAATCTAATTGAATTTTCCAAAAAATTATGGATCTCGACTGAGAAATATATATACGCAGATTTAAATTAAAATGCAATACTTCATATAATGCGAATTGAGATTAAAAATCTTGAAGATTTCATTTCCTGTTCATAATGTCCTAAAGACATCATGACATTTGTTATAGTTTTTGTTTTATACGTTTCACATTATAAGCAGAACATATAAAACACACGCCATATGAAAATTTTTTTACATTTAACTAAATAGGATGATTTTCTCGAGAAGAGTATGAATTCTAATTGGGAAATTTTGGCAAATTATAACTTGATGTATATAATATATATAATGTATAATATTTTATACATTTGGTTTCTATACAGTTTAAATTTTTTTCTCAAAATTTTAATTTAAAACGATGAGTTAATAAGATAACTTTTTTTAGGTTATTTATCACAAATTAAGTTTTTTTATTTCATCCATCAGATGCATTCCAAATTGCATCAAGAAAGATTCAAATCGTACTACAATCAAACATACCCGCGAATTCAAATAAGAGATTTAAACATGACAAGTAAGAGAATTGGGGACAAAATGAGGATCGTAAGATTTAAATAAATTTTAAACATATTGGAAATAAATAAATCAACTTCATTTATCGCATCGAAATATTCGTAAAATGTTTTTTGAAATGTTCGTAATAAAAAAAAAATATAAGTTTTATTGTGAAAGAATAGTTTAAAAGAATAAAGTTATTGTATGTGTGTTCTTTTTTTCTTGAAAACATCACTTAATCTCGTTATACTTTCTACGCAAAGTAAAAATTGAGGTATTCGAGATTTATTGCGAATATCGGTATGGTACTTTTATGTTCATCTCAATCTATTCTACGTTCCCACAAAAGTCGCGGAGGAGAGTTTGGAACACCCTGTATATATATATATATATATATATATATATATATATTTTTTTTATATACATAAGAAAAGAAATAATGCAACTTAACATTTTAATGACATAATGGCATGATTCCATTATGCCTCGGATTGTATACGTTTGAATTATGTAATATAGAACATTATAGATAAGCGATATTTGCACAGGCACGTAACTACAATGGCGAGGAAGATCGTTTAACATTAATATACATACAATAATAAGAAGCAAAATTTTATTATTGTTTACCTTATGCAAATGTATCAAACAAATTGCAACGCAGTTGCGTAGAATGCAGCACACAGTATCTAGTATCTTTCAGTTGAAAACAATATGATGCATAATACATAATAGCATGCAGTAAGAGATATGTATCTAATAATAAATAATAATTGCAAAACATTTCATCACATGGCAGCACCTGTTAGAAAAGTTATCAACGATTATATACGATTATACTTGCAATCCCGTTATGTATACTCTAGGTTTCCCTATTATGAAACTATTTTAAAAGATTTCTCCGATTCAAATAATTTCGTTTTTCCTAGAAAATATAATAAAAATTTAGAGAATGACGAAATTATTCCATAGATCGGAAATCTTCCTAAATAGTATTATAATACCTCTTTAGGTATCCTAAGTCTTTCTAAAATTTTTTTCTAATTTTCGTTCTGTTAGATATGGATAAAACATATGAAACACAATCCATACAGAAAATATCTTGTCATTTAGATGGAATACAATCCAATTAAAAAGAAGAAAGATATATCTGATTGAGAAACCAACATAGGGTTAGAAGTGTTTCTAAGATGCGAATTCAAATGAAAAACCTAAACAGAGTATGTATTATGGAACTGTTCGAAATAGATTCCTTTTCCCTCTCCCAATCGGAATAATTTCATTCTCTATAGAAGATATGAAGAAGTCTAAATAAATAAATGAACGATTCCCATCGGAATTCATTTCGAATACTTTCATAATGCGCGTCCAGATCCCATTCTCGCCAAAATTTCGCAAAGATTTTTTCTGGTTTTTACATCGCATTGGCATTAAACAAAAGAACACTTTGCAAGTATGTACATTTTACAAGTATAAGTATATAAGTATATTAAAAAGGTTTATGTACAATGTTATAAATTTTTTTCCATTTTCAATCTATTGACTTCAATAGTAGATGTAAAAAACGAGATTCTCTTTATTTAATTCCGTAAAAGTCTATCAATTTTATTTACTATAAAAAACGCGAATTTCAACATTATTTATGTATTGATTTCAGATAGGAAATCCATATTTGATAAGAGAGAATAGAATTTGCACTTGGTATCATGTTGAAGTAAGAAAGAATGGAATCTCCACTTGGTATCATATTGAGATAACCAATTTTGAGACAAATTAGATATTCTGATATGCTATATCCGTAAAAGTCTTGAGAAAATTCTATGCAAATAATGACGTTTGCCAATGTTCGCGTGACTGCAGCGATATCTACTGCAACGTTGGTCTCCGTTCTTCGATAACGGAAAGAATTGATATAAAGGTGAGCGAATGATGAACCGTATTTATTTCGATAGGTTGTTTATAGGATGGAACTGTCATTTCATCCATTAAATGTGACACATGCAAATCTAAAAAAGCTGCGACATTTGCCGCAAATACATTTTCCCTTCTTCCTCCCCCCCTCTCTTCATCGAGCATTTTATCCTCTCAGTATTTGAAAAAGCCCAGATCGACTTTCATTATCACAA